GGTGGTGTAATAGGCGTGGGGAGGGGGGTACGGGTAGGGTGTAGGGCGAGGGCCTAAGAGGCCGGGATTAGGGTTTGGGTGAGGTGAGTTCCAGGTGGTATTGCCGTCATGGGTTTGTCGTTGCCTGGAGCCGTTTTGACGCCCACGTCCACGACCCCGATTTCCGCCGCCACGTCCTTGCCCTCGTCCAAAGCCTCCGCGCTATCCCGGGTTGCCGTCACCGTAGCTGCTGCCGCCGTGATTGCCGCCATAGCCGCTGCCACCGTGTGTCCCGCCATGGGGTTGACCGCCGGCACGGGTAGTGAGCAGGGCCGTGCTGTCGGGTTCAACGGGTTTAGACCGTTGGCGTTCCAAGAGCATGAGAGCCGATCTAACTTGAAGAAAATTCGGCATCGGATCCTGAAACTGCATGAACGAGGTTTGAGCCTGAAGATCATCGGGAAGCCCTCGGAGCATCTGGAGGACCAGTTGGTGCTGGGAGACCGGTGCATCGACGTCATCCAACCAGTCGGCAAGGTTTTGGAGTTGCTGGCAATAGACCGCCATAGAGGTGGAGCCCTTGATGGTGGTGCGAAATTCATGCTCCAACTGCATAGCCCGGGCATTTTTGTTGTCGTGAAATAGGTCGTGGATGACCTTCTAGAGAGCAGAAGCAGTGGTGAGAGAAGAGAGTACCAGATCTGAAACTTCGTCGGTGATGGTGGAGAGAATCCAACCCTGGAGAAGAGCATCGAGTTGGCACCATTCATCATCGTCGTCGGAGAGGGGGACGACAGATCCATCGAGATATCCCTGAAGGTTAAATTGTCGAACGAGGAGGAGGAACAGACGACTCCACTTTTTGTAGTTCGGTTGAGAGAGACTGAGTTGAACGGGAACATGCAACCTCACATTTGAGATGGTTGTGAGAGCAAGATGAGGGGTTTTGGAGGACATATTTTGTGAAATAACCTCACTATTTTCGGCCATGGGAAGAGGAGAAGAGAGAGAGCCGCCGGGAGGGAAGCAGCGTCGCCGGGAGAGAAGGCCGCCGGAGGGGAGACGGGCTGGCGGCGAGTAGGGCCGAACGAGAGAGAGAGAGATAGAGAGGTTAGGGTTTAGGGTTTTGTGGCTCTGATACCATGTAGAAGAAATATTTTCATTGAATAATTGTGTAGAGAATACATCAATATATAGTAGAGGCTTCAATCCTAATCATAGTAGGAGAGCCATATTTAGGAAACCTATACAAGTATGGTAACACAATAATTACAAGAATAATAAATATAATTAATATATTTAGCATATTTTGGTGCAATTTAGTGCAAATTTCGCTTTTTATAATCCCAAACTTTGATTGAATACTAAAAAAACTTAGTGATATCTCACATTTATAATCCAATTTACACACCACATGTATCTCACACAATAATCATCTATGCGATATACAAACAATTATTGTCTGAGTGTGTCTGTAATATACGTGGTATGTATTTTACGGTACAAATGTGGTGTACCCCTAGAACCTCTCTTAAATAATACATACTCACCCAGAAGAGTGAGATTTATATGGAATAAGTTAATGCAAAAAATAAAATGAACAAAGTAATGTCTTTCATAAGGAGCATGTTAGCGATACTGATAGAATTTTTTGATGGGGTAAGTGTAATACCCCGTATTAATATGGGAATGGGAAGAGCTCAAAAGGATTGATAGTACTATTCATACCAACAAGGTGCATCTTCTTTTCGAAAGCTCATCAATTAGAAACTCTAAAGTTAAGCGTGCTTGACCTGGAGTAATTTTAGGATGGGTGACACACTGGGAAGTTTCCTTGGGTACTCACGAGTGAGGACAAAGTGTGCGGGAAAGACTTGTGTTGGTTTGTGTTTCCAGTCTACAATCCTATGAGCATACACTTACAGCTAGGGTGGGGCTGGGGTGTTACAAATGGTATCATAGCAACCCTGCGACCGTGACGGCCAAAAAGAGCTTATTTCACCTAGCGGGAAAGATCTGGTGGTTAAAAAGGGATGCAACGAGGAAGTTACATTCCTAAGTGGGGGTGAATGTAATACCCCGTATTAAGATGAGAATGAGAAGATTATTTCACCTAGCGGGAAAGATCTGGGGGTTATAAAAGGGATGCAACGAGGAAGTTACATTCCTAAGTGGGGGTGAATGAAATACCCCGTATTAAGATGGAAATGAGAAGAACTCAAAAGGATTGACAGTACTACTCATACCAACAAAGTGCATCTTGACCTGGAGTAATTTTAGGATGGGTGACCCCTGGGAAGTTTCCTTGGGCGCGCACGAGTGAGGACAAAGTGTGCGGGAAAGACTTGTGTTGGTTTGTGGGGCCAGTCTACAATCCTAGGAGCATACACTTACGGCCAGGGTGGGGGCCGGAGTGTTATAGTAAGGGTTACTCGATTAAGCAATAAGGTGGTTGGACTGAATCACATTAAAAGATTGAATACAATTGATTATTTCATTCAACTCACATGCTTGTATACTCACTATTTTCTTCTCATTTTTTCAACATGGAATTCTCTTTCACACTTCTCTTCAAGTTGATCACCTGGTCATTTTGAATCTAAATGGTTAATCACTTGTAAATAAATTCCCTCTCCCCTTGACCTTTTTAGTGCCAATACCAAAATTACCACGAACTGATGAGTATGGACTTCTAGTCGTTGGATATACATTCCACACGGACAGCTGTGCTAAAAAGTAGGACCGCTAGGAATGAACATCTAGATGACCATCTTGACAAACGAGGTGGGTTAAAACTGGTTTTGATACCATGATAAAAATTTTCGATGGGGGTAAGAGTTACTAGATTAGGAAATAAAACAATTTTGTTGAATCGCATTAAAAGATTAAACTCAATTAATTATTTAGTTGAACTTAAGAGCTTATATATACTTATTATTTTCTTCTTACTTTTTTGGTTATTTTGTTCCAACCACCTAATTCAGCCCATAAACCCCAATTTCATCTTCTTTCCCTAGCCTCCCCTAACCCTCCTCAATATGTGTGGTATTATGCAATAATACCTACACATTTAGGCAGGGCTTATGGGGTCAGGGTGAGGCTAAGGTGCAGGGTGGGTTAGGAGGTAGAAATCATCAATTTTACAAACGCAGCACTAGATGTATTCCAAAAGTGCACTGGCCCTGCTAGTAGAACTATTGGTCAGTGTTTACAGAATGGTGTCCTTCTTATAAACAATGTAATAAATATATTATAGTTTGACCATTCTTGTCCAATAGTAGAAAGCATCATACTTTGGTATATATTCCCAAGCATCTTCTCCCTTGATGTGTTTACTATGAATGCATGGTACCCATAAGTTGTTTTTTATTTGCCAAGTTCCAATTGAGTTTTATGTTCTTGAAGCCTAAACCCCCATTACTTTTAGGCTTGCATGTCTCTTCTCAGTTAACCAAAGGCACCTTTTTGTAATGCTTATATGCATTCCAAAGGTAGTTTTCTTGTGTACGAGAGGTGCTTGAATTGGTTTTCCAGCTGGTGGTCCTTGCCAATGCCTCGTTTGTCAAATGGCGTGACTTTCCATTGCAACTATAGTCTAATTAATGATGTCGCCCATGGCTAGAAGACTACTCCACAGCTATAATCATTATTATTTTGTTGTTCGTCAATCTAACATCAGAACACATCACTGACATGGAGTCGATATGAAATTACACTTTTAACTTTTAATTTAACACTAACATGATAGAAGGTCAAAAAGTAGTATTCATAAAAAGGTACCTATAAAAGAAAACAACATAAGTCATATTTGATAATAGAGGCCGGACTAAATATGAAAAGCTTCATATTATAAAAGACCAATTATAAAATTCACTTAATTAATATCTTGATTGTACGTATATCTATATGGCAAATTCTTACGTGCTTCTATGGTCTAAGTTCACTTTATGGAACTTACTGCATGCATTGATATCATAAAAAATTAGATCTTTTGCAAATAAAAAAATCAACTTGATTGCAACCCCATGAAAAGTGTCACATTATTTCGCATGTGTACCTTTGAACCACGGATAACAACTCATCAGGATGTATTATATAAGAGTTTATTGCACAAATACTCTCTGTAGTTTGATAAATGTGCATTGTTACCCCTATGATTTTAAAATTTGTATCGTTTCCTTTCATGGTTCTAATCTTATTACGCTAATGCCCATTTAGACTAAAATGACATTCAAATACTTCTATTGAATTATTATTTAGGTGAGTAGCTCCACTACCCTTATGGGCTTGGAAATAGATACCAAGGCCCCCACTTTTTTTTTCTTTTTTGTACCATTTTTTTCATGAATGATCAAATTTTTAATGGATACAGATTTTTTTCATGAATGATAAAATCTTTAATAGATACAAATAGATACCAATTTTTTTATAATGTTTTAATAATTAAATATATTTTGTGTTTGAAATAAAAAACCAATTAAATAAAAAGGAATTAACGTACACTTCATTTGTCTCAAATTAAACATTTTTATTTTTTGTCCTGAAGAGATCGTTATTGGTTAACTTTCATGATATGAAATCAATGAAACATTCTCTTTTTACAGTAAAGCTCATTTCACATTATCCGTTCCTTTTTTTATTGAAAAAAATAATAATTTTATATCGTTTCTTTATTTTAATCAAAATAAAAATAAAAGAAAAGAAAATAAATAAAAAGAAATGTATATGAAAAAAATACTTTTAAAGAATAGGGAAAATAAAGTCATGAAGGAAATCTCTTGCGCATAATCCAAAAATGATATTAATATATTATTAACTATATATTAGAAAGACCATACTGAGTATTCTTTTGATCCCGACATATTCAAATGAAATGAAAATATTTAATTTGACAAATGAAGTATATGTTAAAATACATACTTTTTATTTCATTTTTTATTTCAAACACAAACTTTTTTATTATTTAATTTTTTTAAAAAATATATTTTTGAAAAATAACTTTTTATTATGGAGTATTTTTTCAAACATAAATATTTTTCTTCTCTTTATGAAAAAAAGAAAAGAAAAAAGAAAAACAATAAAGCGAAGGAGAAGGGGCATTGGTGCCCATCTCCGAAATCGTAGGGGACAGCGGAACTATTCACCTAATATTTGAAGGATATTTTTGTCTAAGGCGTAGCAATATTACAACCAAGAGGACAATACATAATAATTAATACTCTGAAATAAATTAATGTACTTCGTAAAAAAATTATGTACAACTAATAAAGCCGGAAAGGACACACCTCTATCACAAAAATGAGCACTCATAGATAAACCATTGATTAAATAATTAGGTAATTAGTTCATCTTTCATGTACGTACTAACATAACATTATTGCATATTTGTGGTAACAAAGTTTAGGTAAAATAACAAACTTTGGTTGTTTGTTACATTCATAAGAAAGATGCCACCTTTGAACATGGGACATGCAATGGATTTATTCCCTCTGAAATTAGTAGTCTTCACATCATACTTTCTCCCTCAAAAAATTTTTTAACTTTTCTTTTATGCCTCTTGAAAAATATTTTTCACTTATTTTATCCTCTATTTTAGTAATAAATACTATCTCTATCCCAAAATATTTGTTTAGTTTTGATTTTTTTAATCAATCATTTTTAATCTTTGATATATACTTATATAAACTATATATTGTATATTCATTAGATAAAATAATATTTTGAAAATCTTTTATATAATAAATCTAATAAAATTATTTTTGTATTAATATATAGTATCATTTTTATTTAATTTGGAGTCAAAGTTTACAAATTTTAACTAAAAAATC